ATGCCCACCATGTGCCCTGCATCCTGCAGCCCACCACCACGGCTGCTGGCAAATGCAGAGGGGTTTGGGCAGGGTGCCAACCACTGCCTTTGGTTGCCACTGACCCTCACTGCAGGAGAACAAAGCGAAGGCAAAGCCAACGGAAGAAAAAAACCTTCAGAAGGCCTGGAGACTCCAGCCAGCTTGTTTAGAAATCTTCCAGGAGAAACTGCTGCTACGAAGGAAATACTTCTGCTCTTGCAAGGACACCAGCTGCCCCAGGGCATGGAGCTGGTACCAAATGGTCAAAGCTGGGGCTGCCCCAGCTGGCAAATCAAACAGCAAGCAGACGAGTGGCAAGACAAAGGGGTTTTTAATAATGAAGGTATTGCTGGTAACATAGGAAAGGAAATGTGCTTGCTCACAAGTTTGAAGCTGACAGCATCCCTTTAAATAAGGAAATACATTTGCTGAGAGGAGAAAGTTACCTGGGAAGCCCTGTACAATGACACAGTGTAGCAGCTAACACTACTCTCTTTCAAGTGCTATTAATATTCTCCACAGACCGGCTTCAAAAAATCTCTCACTTAGAAAAAGGAAGTCTTTAAAAAAAAAATGCAACCTGTGATTGTCTATCCTAGCAGTGCACTGTGACCATTTGTACAATAGAAAAGTGGTGCTTTAAATAGTGAGTTGAAAGCTACCGCCACGTGCTTTATACAGCATGCAACAACGCCACGAATGGGAGAGGCAGCGGGGGCTTCGCAGCCTCCTCCCACAGCTCAGCATCCCGGGGGGAGCACCCCCTGAGAGCCGTGGCCAGGCTGCCCGCAGGCCCCTCGTGCCAGACCTCCTCCCCAGCTGCTGCATCTCCGATGTGCTGTCCTTCCAGTAACACAAATATTAAATACACTCAGTCTGTAAATAGTTTAACAATCTTTGTCAGCAACAATATTTACTTTGGCAAAACCAGAACTGCAAAGAAGTAGTAGATGTGCCTGTCAAACAGTCTGCAGCGAGTTCTTTGGTGGAAGCCAAGAAGTGAAGCAAAGGCTCCTCCTTGCTAGAGCCTGAGGAAGTGTATTGCACAGAGACTTGTAGGAGAAATGCTGGTGACTTCAAACAGGAGGCATGGCTGCAGGAGAGCAGCCGTCTCTGCTGGCTTCAGGAGAACGAGCTCTTCCAGGCTCAGTGATTCACAGCTGTTCTCCGGATGGCCTCGCTCTGGGCTGGGTGAACAGTGGCGCTGGAGTAAACTTGGGAAGAAGGGGATGACTGCTGGGGATCCAGGAGGAATGGGAAGAAGGATGGAGGGAGGGATGGATGGCAGAGAAGTAGAGGCAAAAAAAGCAGATGCTCGCACAAAACCACATCCACACAAGGGCCCTCTCAGCCCTGCCCCACACGCAGGTCACTGAGAGCCCGTTTCTGGCTCCCCTTGCTCCCAGGTCACGTGAAGTGGTGGAGATCCATCCTGGCTTCTGGCTGGGGGAAGGACAGCCCCTCCAAAGCATGGCTGTATTTTCCATATGACATGCTCCTACCTTAGACCAAAACACATTACACACCTCTTGGTCTGTACCATGCTAGCTAGGACATGGCAGCTCCACCAGGATGCCGCGTCCCTCCAATACCTGAACCTACAGCCTGAGCAGCTGCCTCCAACATCCAGAGCTCTCTGCTCCAAGGTCACAGGCTCCTGCCTGATTCAGCTCAGGCTGCAGCAGGGATGGCTCCGAGGCTTTCAGCACCTCAGGCACTGTGAGGACATGACAAGGTGCCACCATGAACATGGTGGTCTCCATCTCTTATCCACCTGGAGCAGAGCTGTGCCAGGACTGGGCAATGCAGTTTCGGAGGCAGGAGGAAGGAAGCAAGGTGAGGCTGTCTGTAGGGAGAAGTGTGCTTGTTGCCCTGGCTGGGCAGAGCCTCCCTGCTGCCACAGCCCCTGGCCTGGGCATGGCCAAGATGAACCCAGCAGGATTGCCTAAAGGGCTGGATGGGCAGGAGGGCAGTAGAGGAGGGGGCGGCAACAAGCTCTCCTCTCCATGATTTCCCATTGCCACCCAGGTGAGGTCTCCTCACCACACAGTTTTGTCATGAGCTGCTCCAGTTCTCACAAGAGTGACTGTTAAAAACTGGGGGGAAAAAAGATAAAAGAAACAAGACTGAAGTTCTTGTCAATCTAAAGAAGTGTTAAAGGCACTGGTGTCCTCTGTGGAGACATGTCAGTGGAGGAAAACCAAAGTACCAGAACTGGTTTGCTGTCCATCTGCAGTAACTGAAAGTTCAAACAAGTTTATGTGCTGGAAAAATGACTCCAGTTTCCCCTGGATGTGGCACATGAGCCCTGTTTGTTCTCCGGCATGACAGAAACACTGTGCTGGCTGCTGCACACCCACAGTATCCTGCCGCCACCACCCTCCCTTTCACCACTGCTGCAGGTGCAGGTCCATGCTGGTGTTTAGATTGAGGTCAGTAACATCCAGGAAATCGATGTTGAAGATGCTGGGACCTGCGGGGGTGAGCGAGCCAAAGCCAGTGGCGGAGCTGGGGGGGGTGAGGTCCAGCCACTCCATCGTTTCCCACGGAGACTCAGTGAAACTCATCTGTAAACCGGAGCCATCGGCAGGGGAAGGGGAGAGCTGGGTTTCCATGGGTGAGAGGGGAGTCTGTAAAATCTCTTGGGAGGTGAGCAGTTCATCTGCAGCTTTGCTGGAGAAGCCCTCCATCATCCCTTCGAAGTGAGACTCTTCTCCCCCCATCTTCAGCAGGGCAATTTCACTGACCCTCCCCAGGGGACTGTGGGCATTCAAAAAAACAGCAGGACCTCGAGTTGAGCATCACTGTTGCCTGGACAGTGCTCGAAGGAGAGCTGGGCTGAGGAGACCTGCTCAAATGTGGTGGATGACTTTGGAAGAGAAGCGCTGGAGTTCCCTGTAGACACTGTTATCTGAGGTACCTTCTGGAGGCAGGACCGATCTTCCTTAGCATTGGCTGGCATTTCTGTGAATAAATGAGAGGAGTTTGAGGTGCTTTGGCAGTGGACACCACTGCTGGGCACAGGGGCAGCTCCACAGCCCCCCCAGCTGGGCTCTTGGGCATGCCTATGCCTATGGAGACCCACTCCCCACCCAGTCTCCTTGGCACCACTTGCCCACCCTCCCAATGGGAAACCTCACATGTTCCTGCTTTCTTGACCTCAACTCGCCTGGTTTTGGACACAGTCCCCAGGGCACGAGCACTGGTAGCTGAACCCACGGGGCTGGGCATGGGCTGTGCATGGGAAGGGGAACAGACAGCGCTTTGCACAGGGGAGGGTGCTGGCAGTGCTTTATGCAGGAGGTGGCACTGGCAGCACTGGGAATGGTGGGGGGTACTGGGGGCTCTGTGTTTGGAGGGTGCTGGCAGGGCTTTATGCAGGAGGTGGCACTGGCAGCACTGGGAATGGTGGGGGATACTGGGGGCTCTGTGTTTGGAGGGTGCTGGCAGTGCTTTATGCAGGAGGTGGCACTGGCAGCACTGGGAATGGTGGGGGATACTGGGGGCTCTGTGTTTGGAGGGTGCTGGCAGTGCTTTATGCAGGAGGTGGCACTGGCAGCACTGGGAATGGTGGGGGGTACTGGGGGCTCTGTGTTTGGAGGGTGCTGGCAGGGCTTTATGCAGGAGGGGGCACTGG